TGTTTTTTCTTCTTGGTCTTCTCTCCAGATCAGTTGTTTTTCTTATAAGATGTTTCCCATTCTCTTCTAATGAAAAAATTCTTTATATTTTGTTTTATCACTTATTGATCTCTTATAACTTCACCTTGCCCAATTCTGATTTTCAAGGAGTCATTTTCTTCCTTAAGACTCTGAATCTCTTTTTCTAATTGGTTGACTTTCTTTTCATAATCTTCTTGTTTTTCTTGGATTCTTTTTTTTTAGTTTTTCCTCAATCTCTTTCATTTGATTTTTAAAGTCTTTTTTTAAGTTCTATGAATTCTTTTTGAGCAGGTGACCATTTGATGTTACTCTTTGGGGTAGAAGAGAATTTCTTTGCTTCAGTACCCTCCTCTGAAGATGAACCCCAGTCTTCTCTATTCCCATAGTAACTATTTTTTTCTCCTTTGTCTATACATTTCTTTTTTTTATGTGTAGTAGCTCAGCTTTTATCATCACCTCTGGTCCTGGGTATGGGGGATGGTGCCTCTGGCCTCAGATCCTCCTTCAGTGTTCCCCTCTGGCTTGGAACTGGAACCAAGATCTCCAATCTCCTGTAGGTGCCCACAGCCAGCCATGTCTCTGCCCCACTGTTTCTGCACTCAATGGATATATGCTGGTTCCTTCAGAGCCCCCCCCCCCCACCTCCATGACTCTGCAGCACAGCTGGGTCTGGTGTTCCTTGTAAGCAGAAGTTCCCTTGATCTTCTTGGGCTCAGGCACCCAACACCTCTCACTGTCCCCTGGGGTAAAAGTTCCTGTAGTTGGGACTGAGGTAGTCTCCCATCCCAGCTAACCCCAGGGCTTGCCACTTGTTTAAGCAGATTTAGGACCTAGCCTGGAGGTGTTTACTCTTCACTCAGATCAAATCTCCTCCTGGGACTTTTCTTCAGATCTTCTCAGATTGTCCCAGGAGGACTCCTCTGCCCATAATCTTACTTATTGTTTACCCTGAGGTGTTAATTTCATCTCTTTTGTGGGGGAAATTCTTGAGAGCTTGGAATTTTCTGACCTACTCCACCATCTTCCCAGAATCATTTTGGTCCTGCCTTCCTAAACCTGAATTTGGAGAGGGCCCAGGCTGGCTATCAGTGATTCTAAACTCTGTAGGGTGGGGGAATCCCAATAGCTTTAGAGCTAGAAAGAAAAAGTGTTGCCTCAGGGTTCATTCCCCTCCTTTTACTTGAATTGGTTTTTGATTCTTTGTCTTTTGCAATGTCTGTTTATGAGCCACTGCTGTGGTCTGGCAGTCTTTGCACTGTTGGAAGTCATTTTTGTTTGTTTAAAGTCTGCTAATGTGACTGTCCATCTGTCTTTAATGTCTCAATTAAATGATGTGTGTAAACCTAGAAGTAGGGCGGTTGTTGTTCAGCAGTTTCAATTGTGACCTACTCTTCATAACCCCATTTGGGGTTTTCTTGGCAAAGATAATTGCCCTTTCCGTCTCCAGCTCATTTAACAAATGAGTAACTGAGGCAAATAGGGTTAAATGACTTGCCCAGGGTCACACAGCTAGTAAATATATGAGGCTGGATTAGAACTCATGAAGATGAGTCAGTACATGATTCCATCTTATTTTCTAGCTACCCACGTCATCAGTGATGGCCTTCATAATAACTTTGCACCAGAATCATCATCAGTAAAATGCTGTGGTCAACTCTTACCCCTGATAGGTCTTATTCTTATCCTCTGAGTTGTTTATAGAAGCACCAACCTTTAGAGGAAAAAGAATTCTACCTTAGACATCCAGTCCAACCTCTCCCAGCTCCCACTGTTGTAGAAAAAAGAAAACTAAGGTCCCTAGAAGTACCTTGCCCACTCTGGCAGTAAGTAGATGGTGACATTGGGACCTGAACCCAATTATTCTGTCTCCAAGTCTAGAGCTTTTCCCATTGTTCCATACTTCTTCCCTTTTACATCATAGTAGTTCTCAGGACATACTCCCAACCCTCTTCCAAGAAGAACTCTTCTGAGACCCAGCAGCTCTACCTCCTTCACACCAGGCTGGGATCCAGCCATCACTTTTTTCTTCCAAAGTAGTCCGTACTGGCTGCTCTCTGCCAGCATCTCATACCCCTGCACAGCCTGATCATGGGGTTCTGAGACTCACCAGGAGAAAATGTTAGAAACAACTTAGCCCAATCTTCTCCTCCGCAAGTCTAGGCCCAGTTCATGGTCAATTTACTGCAACCCTCCAGGATCATAGGTATTGATAAGCATGTGAGGGATGGGGAGAAAATGCAATGTGTTCTTTTTTAAGCACAATATAAGGTAGGTAGGAGTGGAGGAAGGGAGGGGCAAAGTGCTTCAGGAAAGCTTGAGAAGAAAGAGAACAGTTTCAGCTGAGGGGGGATCAGAAAAGGCTTTGCAGAAGAGGTGACATTTGGGCTGAGCTTTGAAGGAAGGGGCAAATTCTGGAAAATGGGGCAAGAACAGAGGGTAGATTTCAGAGATGGGGAATACCCTAACAAATGCACTGGTCCTGGAAATAGAATCTCATGCTTTAGGAACACAGAATAAGAGTGAGTGGAAATAATCTGAAGGCTAAAGGAACAGACTGGAGCCAGAGTCTGAAGGACCACAAATGCCAAGCTAGGGAAGAGAGGGGCAGGAGGAGGAGGAATAGAATGACAATAAGAACTGGTTAAGCAACTACTTTGTGTCCAGCTAAGTTGACTGTATTTTGGTCTAGAAGCAATGTGGGAGCCAATAAAAGCTTTTGTACAGGGTCAGGAAGATTATATTGACAGTTTTGTGGAAGATAGATTAAAGAAAGAGGACTGGAGGCAGGGAAGACCTACAGCTAGGATGGTATCACAATAATCTTGGTAAGAGATGATGAGGGATCCAATGAGGATGGTGGCAGTATCAGTGGGGAGATGGAGACAAATGCTAGAAGATGTGGAAAATAGAGTCACCAGGTTTTAACAACCAGCTGATTGGCTGTAGAAAGTGAGAAAGGGAAGACAATGGCAATTCCTAAGTTTTAAACCTAGGTAATTAGGAGGATAATGGTGGTGCCATTGACAGAAATAGAGAACTTTTGGAGAGGGGAGGATTTGGGGAAAAGATGATGAGTTCACTTTTTGAGCTCAAAATGGCACCAGCATTACTCTCCCCAAGGTGGGTCATCTGGTGGAGTTCAGGGGAGAAATTATGGATGAATATGTAGATTTGGGACTTGATTGCACAGAGGTGATCCAGGCAATCCTCAACATTCTAGTGTTGAACTTTCACAACTTCAAACATTCGCATGATTTTACTAATAACCTCATTTTCACTTTCAAATTGGCAACCACACACATTCAAGGCTATGCCTAGCAGAGAAAAAAATGAGCATTATGCATGCACGTTTGTGGAGCAGCTGCTGTCCTAGGCACTTCACTGGTCTTGTTCACCTACAGTTGTAAAGAGCTCCCTGCCCATTCGTTTGCCTTTCAAACTCAAGATTAGGTTGCAATTATGCCCCCAAGGCTTAGTACAAATCCTCTGGACTCCAAGCCCAAGTGTGCAAAGTCAGCAATGTGGCTTAGTGAGAAAATAGTGCGCCAGGTGGAGGCAGCTAGGTGGCTCAGTGGATAGAGCTCTGAGCCTGGAATCAAGAAGAACTGAGTTCAAGTGTGGCCTCAGACATTTACTAGTTATGTGACTCTGGGCAAGTCACTTAACCCTGTTTGCCTGAGTTTCCTCATCTATAAAATGAGCTGGAGAAGGAAATAGTAAACCACTCCAGTATCTCTGCCAAGAAAACCCCAAATAGAGTCACGAAGAGTTGGACAGGAATGAAATGACTGAACAACAAAACAACACTTACTAGCTGTGTCACTCATCATCCTCATCTGTAAAATGTGAGTGGGAGGGGCAGCTAGGTGATGCAGTGGATAGAGCTCTGGCCTTGGAGTCAGGAGGACCTGAGTTCAAATCCATCCTCAGATACTTGACACTTACCAGCTGTGTGACCTTGGGCAGGTCACTTAACCCCAATTGCCTAAAAAGAAAAAAGGAAAAAAAAGAAAAAAAAAAGAAAAAAGAAAAGTCTCTGCCCTCAAAAACTCATATTCTAATGGGTTAAGGATAGGGAAGACTTAAACATACTTCTAGGCATTAGGAAAGGACCCAGCAAATAGAGACACTGAAACGAGTGCATGATTCAAGAGGCAAAGCTCTGGGAAGGGACAGGATTGGATCAAGACACAAGGACGAGGACCACATCATCTTCTACGACTGAACCAAAAGAATGGGTGACGACGTAGACAGGTCTTGGATTACGGAGGAGGGGTAATAAGAGTGCTTATAATGGAGAGCCTCAGTCTTCTAAGGAGCAAAGTCTTCTGCTGAGGCAAGTTGAGGTAGAGTTGTAGACTTGAGAAGAAAACTGGCAACAGTTTAATGAGATATAAATTAAAAGCAAGAGGGCACCTTGTTGTGGACTCAAGTCATCAGCTTTTAAGATCTTCTGCAGCAGTTTGGGACTAGGAGCAGAGAAGATCTAGGGCTGAGGATTAGTAGGATCTGAACATCAAAAAGACAGAGATAGAAGGGTGAAGGAAAGCTGAACTGGTGAATGATGAGGTCAAGATTTTAAAGGGAGAAAAATGAAGCCAAAATAGGAGCACTCCCTGAAAAACTAGGGAAGGGCTGAGGAACCAGAAAGGCCCAGGAAAGGTGAGGAGCTGGATTAGGAAAAATCAGGTAGTGGGAAGGGTATGTAACATTAAAACTGCTTCTGGGCCCCAAAGGGCTGAGGTGCTGAACCCCATTCCCTTTGTGCCAAGGAGCCGATCTGCTCTGGACCCACAAATGTGGTTGGCTAATTTAGTTCTGGGGTAGCCTGGCCTCTAATGAGAGGAGTTAGGTTCCCCTTTCTCACACTTGCTGATTCCTTATGGTACCCCAGCAGAAAAATGCTTATGGTTTGGTTTTAGTTCATGCTCCCAAGAGGGGTGGGGGAAGTAGGAAGGTACTTAAATGTATACTATCAGTCAAACGTGGGACAAGTATTTATTTCCTACACACAAAAGAGATGTTAAAGGACCCAAAAGACTCACAGCGCACTTCAACAAGACTTAGCAATCAGTAACTTTTAACTTAAAACTACATCTGCCCAGAGTTATACACATAGATGAAGTCATCTGCGGGACTACCAAATAAATAGGCATTCCACACGTCACTTCAGCTCTGTAAGGTCCAGTCTACTTCAGGTCCACTTTTTCAGCCATTCCAGCTTAGGGATCGGGGCCAGATTCCTGCTGGTGGTCATTCTTCCCAACAAAGAAACTCCTCTTGCCATTTGGACCCAGGAATTCCAGAACTCCCATGAGTGGACACATCCATTTCAAGAACAATGTTTGGTTGCCTACACAGGAAAGGAAGCACAAAGCAGAAGAGGAAGCCAGAAGCCCAGGCCCAACCCTCACCTAGTTGAGTCTCCTGGCTTTAACTCCCTTGTGGGAGTGGTCACTGACTATGGTGAAGGGTCATCTTTCCCCCACCCCTCACTGGAAGTCTCAGTCACATGACACCATCTATAGGGCAAAAGAGAGCAAATTGGAAGCTGCCCCTCCTTTCTAACTAACACTGCAACCCACCTGGGGAAAGGAGAGAGAGAAGATCAAGGAACTGCCCCAGGTTTTGCCACATAATACCAAACTACCAAGTCTTTTTAGAGGCGAGTGCATGTTTTCCCTGGAAATGGCCTGGGCAACTAGTGCAGCTCCATGGAGTGGTCTCTATAGTTCCATTCTATGGACACCCCCAGGGTGTGTACTCCAATTCAACTCCAACTCCAGGCAGAAAGACAGAAGACTGGGATTAGAGAGGAAGAATCTGAGTTCATCATCTTGGAGGTCACACAGCCTTTGGCCATTACCATTAAAGTCACTAGGGTTACAGAAGGGGTTTGGGGCAGACAGGAAAACCACGAGCCAAGAACTGAATTAACTGACAAGGGAGAGGGACTTGGAAGTTGGCTGATGATTGCAACAAGGATGTGGGTAGGTATAAAGATGAAATGAATTTCAAATAGAAGGAAAAACATACATATTTTAAAATTAAGGCAGGAATTTTTGAAGATTACTGGCTTAGTTCCTTTCATTCACTTGTAAAACTTTAAAAGATATTTTAGAAACAGGAAAGAAATAACATTAATAACCTGGAGTTTGCCACTTATTATCAGTATGACTGAGCAGGTTCCTTAATCTCTCTGAATAGGTTTTCTCATTGAAAATGGGGATGATAATATTTGCACTACTTATCTCATATGGCCTACAGACAACAAAGCACTCTATGACTGTGAGTTATTATATTGAATTTAGTTAGCTCAAATAATTTACTTAAAACTGAATTTTTAAAAAAGAGTGGGAATTAACATTATTAGATTTTTAGGCTAAAGAATTTTGAAATTGGGTCTGAGTTTCCTTTTATAAATTTGAAACTTAGTCCCACTTCTGTGCATAGAAAACTATTTTACAGCATTCTTAATGAAGAATTTGCAATTTCTGCAATGATTTTCATGATTGAGAGATCCTAGATACTTCTTGACCATCAAAGACTAAATTATGTTCAGCAGCATAAGTAAATTTCATTACCATTATTTTAAAGTTTTTAAGTCCATAAATACCACAAGGTAATTGAATTAGCCAAAATACTTAATTAACCAGAAAACCCCACTCTTCTACTGGGCTTGACAGAAAGTAGGCACTTAATAGACCTGAATAAGAGAAACTGATAGAACTGAATAATAAGAAAGTTTACTATAGGAAAATGTAGAATACTCTGATTGGCATAAGATAGCCACTGTCAAAAGGATCACATTTTTTGAGGAATAGACAGAAACAAGTCTTTCAAGAAGGACCAGGTCAAACCTTCCTACCACTAATATTCGTCAAATGGGAATGAGATACTCAGATAAAACCTTTTTATTGTTATGCATGCCACAGTTCAGCTTGGGCTCCCTACCAACTTATAAAATCTGAACTTGTGACCAAACAAATTGCAAAATCTGCACGAGGACTAAAGAAATTAGGATACAGAGCAGCCAAACTCAAGTGAATTGTCCAGGCAGCACATCAGCAAATGCAAATTACAAAATAAAAAGCTAACCAGAACAAAGGTCTCGGGTGCTTTTAAAAAATGTTTTTATATTTTAAGTTGTATCCTTAATCTAATTCACTACCATTTCATATGAAGTACAGTTTTCTACCCTTGAAAGCAGCAGGCACAAGTGACAGTCACTAAAGAAGATGGGTTCTTTGGTATAATTTATATGCATTTTTCTTTTTCTTTCATTGTACAGCTCTACAAATACTGCATCACAAATAATTTTTTCTAAATTACTAAAGAAAGAAAATGGTAAATTAATAAAAACTTGAGTGATTGCGATCTCATTTTAATAAATGAATTCTATGAATAAGTCAATAATTTACTGTTTTACTTTATATTTCAAAGGAAGAAATGTTCTTTTTTAAAAGCTAGAGGTAGAGTGCTTCTTATAATACATTTTTAATTTGTGCAGTTCTTAAGTAAAACTATAGCTGAGAACAGTGACTAGGTTAAAAGAGTTAAAAGTCAGTATAATATTTTTTTCTATAAACTTTTTTTATCATTCCAGTTAAAAAAAAACACTAAAAAATACATATGCAGACATAGTGACAATGTTTTCAAAGACAACCAAACCATATTTAAATATAACTCTATCATGTATAGTACTTCTCCAGGAAGGAGATCCTGGGATCACAAGGATTATGGCAAAGGAGTGAAGTCTCCAACACATCCCACCAAGTTGAGACAGCTTCAGTACAAAATGGTAATGTATGGGCTCCGCTGTGTACTTTCCAAGGACCAGATAAGCTATATTTGGAGAGACAGGTTCATCACTTGAAGGCAGGCCACCAGGTAATGGATTTTTCAGCCAATCAGACAGTCTAAGTTGAAGAGGGAATACAATCTGCATTGATTTTGGGATGGCCCATAAGTATAGAAACATTGGTTTTTTTGAAGTCCACTACTTATTACCATCTATCCTAGAAAAGGGAAAAAAGAACTTACCAAAAAAAGGAGGAAATGGGACAGAAGACACACAATGCAGTACTAAGAATCTTACTTCCTGAATAAATTGAGTTCAGTGTCTTTAATAGGTCTTCCCAGCACCAGTTACACTAGGTAGGGAGTTAGCTTCCCAGATTACATGAAATACTGTTCCTTTAATCCTAGGGTACAACTGAGAGAAACTTTCAGTACTAATAAGCCTCAAAGTCTTTACTTTCAATTCACAGTGAGGAAGTAAATGTGGTCAGATTTACAGACAAAAAGAAAAGGGGAACTTACGTGACTAGTAGTAAAATCTGGTTGAAAAATATGCAAACATTTGATTGAGACCGTTCAAAGAAAGAGTAAGCCCAGGTGGTTTTTGCAAAATGACTTTTGTTTCTGTTTTCATAAGCACATAGCACCCTGCTTTTTAAGGTCTCTAACTAAAACTATAGGACTTTTCCATAATATTAATATTTTAATTAAGACTGATTGCTGTCAGATATAAATAAGAAACGATTACTATGACTGTTGAAATAATGTGTGCAACAAACACCATTGGAAAAAAATCATGTGCAATGGTGGACAGACCTCTTTGAGAAAGGCAAATTATTGCTTCCCACAATTGCTTTGAGAAACAGTAAATGAATATTCTTTCATAAGCCTGAAAAGACTGATTATCTAGAATTCACATTTCATCTTTATCTAAATATGGGCCATTTATTTCATAACCACATGTCTTCATAGTATCGAAGTAAGTACAAGATGTCCCAAAAAGTGTCAGTGCTTATTAAAGCTTAAGCTGCACCAAGACTTTTGGTATACTCTGTATTTCTTTAACTATGTCCATTTCATCTTTGCATTAACAGTATAAAAACAGGCTTTGTGTATTTTGTGGCAAGAAATGAAGATGTCATAGTAATCAGATTTTCATGGAATTTTAAAAATCAACAAAGGAAATATATTTCTATTAAACTTTAAAAGGTCCCATTTTCAGAGTACAAGAGAACGCAAATTTAGCTCAACTGTTTTACCAAAGGAATGACTAAAACGACAGATGGAAACTAGAAAAGGTGAATGCACTTAAATACACTCAAAATGAATCCATATCAAGCCAACTAATTAAATAAAAAGATATCAAGTCTCTAGGGAAGGCAACATATACAGGTAGAAGGGGAGCAGCAGAGTGTAGAATGTGCGTACACAATTGTTTGCAAATCCTCAACAGTCCAGAAAAATAGGGCACCTTTCAAAACCAAACCTTATCCACTCACCCAGGCAGTTTACAGCCCCAGCCCACAATTATTCCTGGGGCCCACTCATGGGCAGAGAAATTCGGAAAAAAAAAAATCTTGGACTAAAGCTCATAATGCTTTTTCAAGTTCTGCACATCCTCTGCGGTGAACGCATGGTTTGATTTGTCTGAAAGGGCCTCGAACAGCTGTCGGGTCTGCTCTTTTTGTCCTTTGCTAAGCAGTGTCAACATCATCTGAAAGATAAAGAAATTTCCATGGTAACAACAGCACAGTCAGCCGGTATTTTAAAGATCAAAGCAACACCAATCCTGAGATATGAACTTTCTCTTGTTAAAACCCATCAGTTTGCATAAAGAGGAAGACATTTGGCAGCAGCTTACCATAAATCTTTCTGCTTTACTTAGATGTAAAAGATGCTGATAGACCAATTCAGGATCATTATCAAGAAGGTGATTTTTCAGAGACTGGATGAAGAGGAGGAAAGTATCCCCTTCCAATTTGTTACTCAGCAATGCTGGCAAATCTTTTGGATCTGTGATGGCTAAGAGCTTTGCACAGGCTTCTTCATCCTTCCTTGTGTTTATGGCATTTAGAATTTGCCCAAATTCGTAGGCATTAGCAGGTTTTGAGATGTGGAGTTTTTCCAAGCCCATTGCCAGAGACCCGCTGCCTGCTGGCCCTTTCTCCAAATCATGGCAGGTGATTGAGACATTCTCTGGAGAACCACCTTCAGGCTGTTCCTCACTGCTCTCCACCACCTTCAGGAGAGAAAGAATTTAATTCTGACATTGAGCAACATGATACATTAATAGCCACATGTATTAGCTCAACTGGTGGTTCTCAAACTAGTGTTTAAATTAAATATACTTTACAGAAACATGAATTTACAAAATAAAAAAAATCAGAACCAATGTATTTTATCAGTAGAAGGACCTTAGACTAGCTGAAGCTATCAGTTTTGCAGCCCTTTGCCTAAAGTTCCCCACAGGCAGGCAGCAGCAGAGCTAGTATGGACTAGAACTTGGGTCTCAAAACTCCCAGTCTATGCTATGCCCACTGCTCCCAACATTTACTCTGCAAAAAGGTCCTTCAAATAATGAGCTCACTTCTTAAAGCATTTAAAATATAATATGATCTTTTAAAGTTGACATTTATGATACTTTAGGAACACAACTAAATTAATGATAAGTAGGACAACTGCTTCTTTTACTTTATTGCTCTAGACATGACAGGTAAGATCTGATAGGGGGTGGTGTGTGTGTATATTTATATACATATATACATGTACATATATATGTATAGATAGATAGATGCTATTGAAATACTTCAGAAAAAAGAAATCATAGACAAGAAGTTCTCAACCTTCCTTTCCCTGGAAAATAAATCACAAGACTAATTTGATGATTTTTCAGAAGCATTTCTTGAGTTAATTCATTCCAGAGATAGTTATTAGGTGCCTAGGGGCCATAGATCAGTTGTCCTGATCTGTATCTGGCCACTGGACCCAGATGGCTCCAGAGGAGAAAGTGAGGCTGGTGACTGCACAGCCCTCACTCACTTAAATCCAATTCACTTGCAAGTCATAGCATCATCTTTCTGATATCATGGTCCTCTTCGAAAACAAAGGACAAACCACACATTAGGTACCTAACTGTGCAGAACACTGTGCTAGGCACTGGAAAGAGAGATGAAGTTTAGCAAGACTGTTCCTGCCCTCATGGAGCCCACAGTCTATGAAGAGGGTAAGTACAAAACATTGATAGCTATGAAGAGCTATTCAAACTCTTTGTAAAAGAATAAGACAAAGTGCTATATGAAGTCTTGGAGAAAGGCTGTTCTCCATACCATGCATGAAGTGGGAGGAGGGAAAGATCAAAGAAACCTTTGTGGAAGAGACAGGGTTTGAACTGGGTTTTAAAGAACAGGTTGGGGGGCAGCTAGGTGGTGCAGTGGATAGAGCTCTGGCCTTGGAGTCAGGAGGACCTGGGTTGAAATCCGGCCTCAGACACTTGACACTTACCAGCTGTGTGACCCTGGGCAAGTCACTTAACCCTGACTGCATCACCAAAAAACAAAAACAAAAAACAAAACAAACAAAACAAATTCAAAAAAAAACAAACAACAGTTTGGAAGTCAGTATGTGAAGACAGGGAAAAAACATGAAGGTGGAAGAACAAAGGGTCTCTTTGTGGGGTAGAGCTACCCAATTTGGCTAGGGTGAAGAGGGCATGAAAGGGAGTAATATGAGAAAAGCTCTGGAAAGGTTGGGGGTGCCAAATTGTGGAGGACCTGGAACACCAGGCCCTAAAGCATGACCTTCAGTCAGGTACCCCTGACGATGTCTAAACAGAGAAGAGACAGAACCAGATAAAGGTGGGGTAGGAAGTAAAGGCAGGAAACCACGCTGGAGGCTCCTGCAGGAGCTTTCCAAGTGGCTGGTGGGAGGCGTACGTGGGGACAGAGGTGAGGGATGCTGAGGGACCCTCCCCCCTCCCATCCTTCTCATTTCTATAAAGACCACTGCTCCTGCCACATGCTTCACTAAGGACAGATCAAGACTAGAAAGGACTAAACTGCAGCAATAGAATTTTAGGTTAGCTAAAGTAGCTCCAGAACTTCAGGTGCTGGGATGTAGGGCTGAGGAATTCAGAGTTAAGCTTCAAAGGGGTCTGAGCTGACCTAGGTTTATCCCAAGTCTGCTTCCAAGACCATCAGGAGGGCTATGTGAATTAGTTCAGGCTGGGGCCTCCCAGCTCAGCCTGGGAGGAAACCATTACCTTCCCCTTCCCCCACCCCCACCCCCACCCCAAACCACATTTTTTTATGATCACAAAGGTACTTTTACGACTGTAATACCTCTTCAATTTCTATTTTCCTTCTTTCCTTTTCTTGACTGGGTAGTGGTGTGTCATCCTTGTTACTAAGAAATATGGTTATCTCTTTTAGTTCTTTCTTTGCTTCAGAAACATTTGGGTCTAGGAGGAGAACTTTGTCGAGATCATTAAAACTTTCCTGGTAATTCTGAAAGTCAGAGTGGGGGAGGGAGGGAAGAAGAAATACTTCTCATAAATCACGTAAAAACTGGCATGGGTCAGAAAACTGTGTGTAATATTCAGTTTTATGCATGTAAGTGGGAGGTTCAGAGGCCTGTCCTTGTCCCAGCTCCCCAGGCCGTAAATCTTCCACTTCAAAGGACTCATAAATTCAGGTGTGTGGGGCAACCTGGTAGTGAATTGTGTGTGTTTATAATACAAACAGATTTGCTTTATGAAATCTCTCAGAGCTCAAATAAAGATGTATAAAAGCCATGATACTACTTGCAGGCAATTTCATAGAAATATGCTTAAAAAAACAGCATGATACAAATGCAAGCCATTTTCATATAGTTTTTTCACATTCTGTATTTTTTATATGTATACCCCATATATGTGTATATGTGTGCATGTACATATGTATTTATATGCATTTTTCTGGTTTGACTCTTTAAATTCTATCTAGTGCTTAATTAATAGGCTATAATGTAACAATATAACAATACTGCTTGAGCTACTTGAATTTAACTTCAATAACTTCAAAGGCTGCATCTTTTTAGAATTCAAATTCCCTTCTCTTCATGGACATAAATATGTAAATGTATATTTAAAGAT